ACGCAAATGGACACTTATACATAATCATACACAGAAGTAAACATATGCACATACACACACAGACACATTTCAACTCAATACACACTCATATAAGTAAACAACTCCCATGCAAACTCCTCTCCGCTGTCAGACTAGATTATATGGTGCAGGAAACAGGGGCATGAAATCTGCGGCAGCTGCCCCAGGCTAAGAGACACAAGGCTGCGGGCACAGACACACACACAGATTAGACACACACACATGCCTACACAACCACATACACACAATGCACAAGTGTTAGTGAGCACACAGACAGACAGACACACAAAAAGGATGGTAAGAAAGAGGGAGGGCGAATTCCATTGGAAAGTGAGCATCACAACAGCCGCCTCATTTCCAAGGGCAGAACATTTCAAGTACTGTACGTCTTATAAGTGGATATTGAAAAAACCAGTATATGACATACATCACTGCCACTCATTATGAACATGAATGTTACCTTGATAACATAGCAGCAAAAATGATACTTGTAGATGTTAAGATTGCTGCAGCAAAACAAACTTTTGTGTAAAATATTTCCTCTTCATGTGGTGCTTGATAAAAACAAAAATGAACATAAAATATGTACAGAAAGAACACAAAAGAAAGAGTATCTCCCATGTAGGCCTTGAGTGAAATAATAAGTCCTCTGTCCATAAAATTGCTTCTCCAGTGAAAAAGACATCTCATCTGAATCTGTAGAGAAATATGCACAGATCAAGCACTGTTTACAAGCTAAAATGGCCCAAAACAGTTCTAAACAAATATGTTGGTGGATTTTCATGTGAGAGGACAACAACAGGGGATGGACTTTTTCATTGAAAGAAGCATTATTATAGATTCATATTTTGGCTATTATAATGCCTTGATGGATTTATTACAAACTCACAGCTCTTTGATCCACAAGATATTAACTCATGGACGGGAGTGGTGTGGATTACTTGTGGATTATTGTGATGTTTTTATCAGCTGTTTGGACTCGGCACTCTGACGGCACCCATTCACTGCAGAGGATCCATTGGTGAGCAAGTGAGATAATGCTACATTTCTTCAAATCTGTTCAGATGAAGAAACACTCATCTACATCTTGGATGGCCTGAGGGTGAGTATATTCAGCAACTATATCTTTAAAACTAAGTGCGCAATTTAGGATCATGGGATCATAAAGGACAAAACGACTTTCTTTGCATGTACGCTTCTCTAACGGCCTTGTGGGAGGGCCCACTAGAGTGTCTTTTTTCTGCAGTGCCCTTCAAATGTGCAAAATGCAATTTGGAAGTTGCCCAGAGAAATAGAGATAAGACAGAAGGAAAGAAAGAAGATACCTGAGAAAAACATATAAAGATATCCTTAAAGTCAACTTGAAATGCCATGTGCAACCCATTTTATGTGATAAAAAGTAAACATATTCTACAGAAAAAAATGTGAGACAGGATTATTTTTTAAGTATTTAGGATTAGTATTTTTTTTATTCATACATTGTTTTCTTTTAATATGTATATACTGTCTTATTATTTCATTGTTATTTTGGAACATCAATATTAAAATAAAGAATGCTTTCTTGGCAACTGGTTGAATAAAATAAGTTAATGTTTTTTTTTTGTTTCTTCACAAAAATGATGTCCACTGATGAATCATGCACAATAAAAGTAAACAGGATCAATTCTGAGTTTATGTTGACTTTAAATGAACATGCAAACACACAAAAAAGCAAAGGCATGCATGCGAACGTTGCAAATTAAGTCATAAATATGCACAAAGCCATGAACACTCAAGCCCTCTGTAACACATGAATGATTTCAGCTACTCTGGCTGAATGGCATAACCCCTCTAACCCCAGCAGAGCCACACTCGTTTAATATGCAGCCTTGTTTCCTCTATATCACTTTTTTCTTTCCAAAAACACCCTCTAATTCTGCATAATTGCTCCTTGTCATTTTGTGCAAAGCAACTCAGAAAAACAGAATGACTCAAGACATTATGGGGCAGGAGCCTGCAGGGTCAGCACGGCCCAAACACCCCCTGAGCTCAGCACTTATGCATGTGATGTAGCAACGCATTACAAACAAAGAATCACATCAGAGCTCAATGCATCTCCTGTACAGCCACTCACACAATTAGGGGCCTGGCTGTCAGGGTGAAATTTTCATCCTCTACACTTTTCTGACACTGCACTCCAATTTGACTCTAAATTCTAATTCTAATTCATGCTGGATGCACAAAATAAAACTGCAAAGAATGGCTGATACTGATATAGGCAAGTCTTCGTAATACTTTTTAGGCAGAGGCTATTTTCACTAAATGAACATGACAGTTCAAACACTTTGGGTCGGTAAGACTTTTTAATGTTTTAGCAGACCAAGGCTGCATTTATTTGATCAAAATTACTAAAATGTAATTTATTAAAATGTAAATTATTCCTGTGATGCAAAGCTGAATTTTCAGCATCATAACTCCAGTCTTCAGTGTAATAATTCTCATATGCTGATTTGCTGCTCAAGAAACATTTCTTATTATTATCAACATTTGTGCTATTTAATATTTTTTTGAAAACCATGAGTCTTCAGGATTCAGTGATGAATAGAGCATTCAAAAGAACAGCATTTATTTGAAAAAAAATATTGTACTGTAACAAATGTTAAAATCTTTACTGTCCCTTTATTTAATGCATTCTTGCGAAAACTTACTGAAAATGTGCTTTTTGTAGATAATTCATGACAAATATATCACAAAGTCTTCAATCCTAAAAATGGTATTTATACATTCTTTAATAAAAATGGGTAAAAATGAGTTGAAGACAACAAGGGTTTAAAAAAGGTACTGTTTGCACCAAGACAGAATCTTATTTACACAAAATGCAAATAGTTACAGATGCTATTCTAACAAAGTCTAAAAAGAAGGCATATTCTATTATACTAAAAGTAAAATACCTGAGCAATGATGGGTGGAGTTAGTGAAAACAACCTGTGCCAAAAAGGATGTATTACTTTTTAGTACACTGCTCTGTGGAATACTTAATTCTGATTGGTCAATCGCTGCATTCTGCCATCAAATATTGTACCATAAGAACCATTCAACTATAATTGACTGTTGTCTCAGGCAACCAATTCGCTGTGCTAGTTTTATGTCTCTCACATCACTCTGAGGTGTCTTTCTTCTCACATAATAAAATAATTACAACTCAAATGTCCATTTACATAAAATACCATACAGCCAGATGGTAATTATCACAAAGTAAACACGTTCAGGGTGATATAAGACCCCCTACATGTCGCATTGTGGTCCTGATCACCCCGTCAGGGTTTATTTTGCAATAATGATAGACTGACTCTACATTAACCCTTGCATAATAACTTTCATCAATGCATAATGAGCAAACATTACATACTGCTAAACAGATCAGCTGCTGATGTACAATACGTTAAAATAGAAATATATATGAATATTTAAAATCTCTAATGAGGTTTCTACAGTATATATATATATATATATATATATATATATATATATATATATATATATATATATATATATATATATGCTCATTA